GATAGTTTTGGGAAGAACCGAATTGAGGACTGGACTGCTGAGGAGAAAAGAATTGATTGTAAGGCTTTGTCACAAATTCAACTCCATTTGCATAATAATATTTTGCAGGAAGTTTTGAGCGAGAAACTGCCGCCGCTCTATGGTTAAAGCTGGAAGGGATTTGCATGACTAAAGACCTCACCAGCAAGATGCATCTGAAGCAAAAATTATTCCTGCACAGGTTACTCGAGGGAGGTAATGTTTTGAATCATATTTCAGAATTTAAGGAGATTATATCTGATCTAGCTGCAATGGAGATTAAGTATGAAGAGGAAGATACTGCTCTAATGTTACTTTGTTCACTGCCAAGTTCTTATACCAATTTTCGAGACACCATATTATACAGTCGTGATACTCTCACACTTAATGAAGTTTATGAAGCTTTGAACTCTAAGGAGAAGATGAAATTAATGGTGCCTCATGATGGTTCGAGTTCATCCCAAGCCGAGGGATTATCTGTTCGTGGCAGGACAAAGGAAAAGAACTCCAATAATGGAAACAGAGGCAAAAGTAAGAACGGCTACAGGGGTCGGTCGCAATCCAGAGACAAGAAATATTGCAGGTATTGCAAGAGAGACGGGCATGACATCTCTGAGTGTTTCAAGTTGCAGAACAAGGAAAAGAGAAAAGGTAACAAACAAGGTGAAAATTCTGCTAACGTTGCTCGTGATGTTAGTTCCTATGATGCTCTTGCCGTTATTGCTGGCTGAGACCAATGATGAGTGGGTTCTTGACACTGCATGCACTTTTCATATGTGTCCACATAGAGATTGGTTTAATACTTTTGATTCCAATACTTATGATGGTTCCGTTTTGGGTTTTGATAATTCACCATGCAAGATTGAAGGCATAGGTTCTATTCGAATTAAGATGTTTGATGGCATAATCAGAACTTTGACAGATGTTCGGTATATTTCGAAGATGAAGAGAAATCTTATCTCTGTTAGTGCCCTTGATGCAAAGGGGTACAAGTATTCAGGTGGAGATAGTGTTTTGAAGGTCACCAAAGGCTCCCTTATTGTGATGAAAGGTGACTTAAGTTCGACCAATGGTCTTTATTACCTTCGAGGTTCTACCGTTTCAGGTAACGCTACTCCAGTTATTTCAAAGATTCTGATTGTGATGCTGCTAACCTTTGGCATATGCGTCTTGGACATATGAGTGAACTTGGTTTGGCAGAGTTAAATAAGAGGTCTTCTTGATGGATATGAACCTGGTAAATTGAAATTTTGTGAGCATTGTATCTTCGGCAAGCACAAGAGGGTGAAGTTCAACACTTCGACTCATACAACCGAAGGTATTCTTGATTATGTGCATTCTGATTTATGGGGACCATCTCGCAAAAAGTCACTAGGTGGTGCTAGTTACATGCTGACTATTATTGATGATTATTCGAGAAAAGTTTGGCCTTATTTCTTGAAGCATAAATATGAAGCATTCTCAGCATTTAAGGAGTGGAAGATTATGATTGAAAGACAAACTGAAAAGAAGGTAAAGATACTTCGCACTGATAATGGTATGGAGTTCTATTCTAAACAATGTAAGAATTATTGCAAGTCTGAAGGCATTGTCAGACATTACACCATTCCTTATACTCCTCAACAAAACTGTGTTGCTGAGCGTATGAACAGGACCATTATTTCCAGAGCCCGTTGCATGTTGTCCAATGCAGGTTTGCATAGGCGTTTTTGGGCTGAGGCCGCTTCCACTGCTTGTTATCTCATTAACCGTTCACCATCTATTGCTCTTAATAAGAAAACTTCAATTGAGGTATGGTCTGATTCACCTGCTGATTATTCACAGTTGAGAGTTTTTGGTTGCACTGCTTATGCTCATGTTGATAATGGAAAGTTGGAGCCTAGGGCTGTTAAGTGCATCTTTTTTGGTTATAAGTCTGGTGTTAAAGGTTTTAAATGGTGGAATCCTGAAACCTAGAAGATTATTATTAGCAGAAATGTTATCTTTAATGAATCTGCTATGTTACATGATGTTTCATCTACTAATGTTCCTGTTGAGAGTGAACAACAGCCTCCTATTCAGCAGCCTACTGTTCAGGTGGAGCATGTTATTAACTCAGGTGATACATCTAGTAATGAAATTGTTGATGCACATGATGAACCCGTCGTTAATGATGATCATGTCACTCCGACTCCAAATCAGCCTATTGTTCCGCCCAGTTGGAATCTTGCACGTGACTGAGTTAGACGGGGTATTAATAAACCAAACAGGTTAATTGAAGAGTGCAATATTGTTTCTTTTGCTTTATCTGTTGCAGAAGAAATTGAAGGTAATTCTGAGCCTTCTTCATATTCTGAGGCTATTATTTCTGGTGATAGTAATAAGTGGATGACCGCTATGCATGATGAGATGGAATCACTTGAAAAGAATGACACTTGGGATTTAGTAAAATTGCCTAGAGAGAAGAAACATATTCGTTGCAAGTGGGTTTTCAAGAGAAAAGAAGGTGTTTCTCTTAATGATGAGACAAGATATAAAGCAAGGTTAGTTGCTAAAGGTTACAGTTAGATTCCAGGTATTGACTATAACAAAGTCTTTTCTCCTGTTGTGAAGCATAGCTCTATTCGCACTTTACTCAGTATTGTTGCCATGCATGATCTTGAGCTTGAACAATTGGATGTTAAAACTGCATTTTTACATGAAGAATTAGAAGAGGATATTTATATGGAACAACCTAAAGGTTTTGTTATTCCTGGAAAAGAAAAGCTTGTCTGTAAGTTAAAGAAATCTCTTTATGGATTGAAGCAATCCCCTAGACAGTGGTAGAAGAGATTTGACACCTTTATGCTCTCTCAAGGTTTCAAAAGGTCTAACTATGATAGTTGTGTTTATTTAAAAACTGTCAAAGGTTCAACTATTTATTTGCTCCTTTATGTTGATGATATGCTAATTGCTGCAAAGAGTATGTCAGAGACTAATGAACTAAAGAAGCAATTGAGTAATGAATTTGAGATGAAGGATTTGAGTGCAGCAAAGAAAATACTTGGCATGGAAATATCCAGAGATAGACCGTCTGAAAAAGTGTATCTAAGTCAGAAGGGATATATTGATAAAGTTCTTCGTCGTTTTAATATGCATAATGCCAAGCCAGTAAGTACTCCGTTAGCTGCACACTTTAAATTATCATCAGCTTTATGTCCTAAGTCAGATGCAGATATTGAGTACATGTCTAGAGTTCCCTATTCGAGTGCAGTTGGTTCACTTATGTATGCCATGGTTTGTTCTCGTCCAGATTTATCATATGCATTGAGTGTTGTCAGTAGATACATGGCTAATCCTGAAAAAGAGCATTGGAGAGCAGTCCAGTGGATTTTCAGATACCTGCAATGTACTTCTAATACTTATTTACAGTTTGGGAAAACTGGAGATGGACTTGTTGGTTTTGTTGATTCTGATTTTGCTGGTGATTTGGATAAGAGAAGATCACTTACAGGTTATGTTTTCACCATTGGTGGTTGTGCTGTGAGTTGGAGAGCAACTTTGCAGTCTATTGTGGCTTGTTCCACTACTGATGCCGAGTATATGGCTATTTCTGAGGCATGCAAAGAAGCTATCTGGTTGAGAGGTTTGTACACTGAGCTTTGTGGAGACTCATCTTGCCCTACCGTATTTAGTGACAGTCAAAGTGCTATATATCTTACAAAGAATCCGATGTATCATGAGAGAATAAAGCACATTGATGCCAGATATCACTATATTCGAGATGTTGTTGTTGAAGGTGATTTGAAGGTATGCAAGATAAGTACTCATGATAACCCTGCTGATATGATGACAAAGCCAGTTCCGACCAATAAGTTTGAGCTTTGCTCAGGCTTAGTTGATATTTCTCACTAGTCCTATGGACTTTGGCGCACAAGGTGTTTATGCTGATTTGGATGGAGTTATTCATTTTCTTTGACTACTGGAGGAAATTTGGATCAAGGTGAAGATTGTTAAATTGTGATCCAAATTATACCGTGTTGGACTAGACGTAGTACAACCGGTGTAGGCCTTTGCATTGACGTCGACGCGTACGAGTACAACTCGTTTACTTGTCCTTCAAGGAATCTCATGTATTGCCCTCTTATATACCCTATGTAGTCGCACCTCAGACGGTTTGTCGTCTCGTGCTTGTAATACTTCTCCATGATAATAATTGCGTCTTCGTGCGTCCGTGGTTTTCTCCCGCAAAAGTTTCCACATAAAAATCCGTGTCTCTTTGTCTTGTTTATTTCTCGTTATTATCTAACAGTGCACTTCCCTGCTCTCAACGCTAACTTAAGCGTACAGCCGCTGGCTCCTTGCAGAAATCAAAGCTGCGAGTCGTCGTCCCTTTGCGAGCTCTAAACCGTCGCATTCATGGCGATGATGGCAACTGGCACGAACTTCGGCTGAACCTTATCTTCTCCGCAGCCAGGCTGCCATGACAATGCAGAAAGGAAGCGGCGTGTTGACCCACGCCAGCATACGTTGCATCATCAGCCATGACAATACCCCATCTGCCCACTTTTCCTGAAGAAGATGCCCGCATGGCCGCATGCATAAATAAAGCCAGAGGCGTACCATCAAGCAGCCAAGAAACGAAGCTGCTAGCTGCTCGGCGCACACATGTCGGCATCCTCCTCCTCTGCGCCAGCGGCCGCCGTGGCGACGTCGACCCGCCTCATCCTGGTGCACGGCACGGGCCACGGCGGGTGGTGCTGGTACAAGGTCGCCACCCTCCTCCGCGCCGCGGGGCACCGCGTCGACGCGCCGGACCTCGCGGCCTGCGGCGCCGACGCGCGCCGGCTGAGCGACCCGCCAACCTTCGAGGACTACAGCGAGCGGTGCTCGTGGGCCACAGCTTCGGCGGCATGAGCGTCGCGCTCGCCGCCGAGGAGTTCCCCGACAAGGTCGCCGCCGCCGTGTTCCTCACCGCCTTCATGCCGGACTGCGCCGGCCCGCGCACCCGCGTCATCGAGCAGGTCCCCGTGTCCGACTGGATGGACAGCGTGGTCGACGAGGAGCACGTCCCGCCGTCGGTGTTCCTCGGGCCCGACTTCGTGCGCCGGAAGCTCTACCAGCTGACCTCCGAAGAGGACTACACGCTGTGCCAGAGCCTCGCGCGGGTGAGCTCCTACTACGTGGCCGACCAGCAGCAACGGCCGCCGTTCAGCGCTGCCCGATACGGCGCGGTGACCAAGGTCTATGTGATTGCCAAGCAGGACCAGGCCATGGTCGAGGAGTACCAGAGGCAGATGATCGCAGGCATCCCCGTGGCTGAGGTGAGGGAGATGGCTGACGCCGACCACATGGCCATGCTCTCCGCGCCGGAGGAACTTGCGGGCCACCTCGCCGACATCGCCAACAACTACACTTGATCGATTTGCGGAGCCTACTTGTACTGTTCCTAAGATAAAACGCATGTCTTCCGTAGTTGGATTGTACTTACAATTAGAGGAAGAAATCTACTGAAATGTGAGTCCAGATGTACCGCAGACGAGGGCTCTTTTTCAAATGAATTTTATATAAATTACATGTGGTATGCAAATCTGTAGATATTTTCCAATAGAATCTAGTATTTGATTCAAAGGAACAAATGTTTCAAACTCTGCATTGATCGTCATCCTATGATACCCATGATATGAATTTGATCTCTTTACAACATTCCTTATTTTTCTTAGAGCAACTCCAAGGGGCTGACTCAAAGGGACGGCAATTTTGTTCGCTTTTCGTTCGTTTGGATCAGTCAAACGAACATAGACGTCCGCTTCCGTGTTTGGGTTGACGTATGCGCCCAAAGCTCGCCCGACCCATTTTGACGGCGTTGACAAAAAGAAAATAGTGCATGCATATTTAAAATAAAAAACAACTTAATTAAACATTAAAGCCAGCCAAGAAAGCCGGCGAGAGTCCACGCGTCCACATTAGCATTGAATAAAACTAAAAACAAACTAAACTACGAGGCGGTGCGCTGCCCTAGGCGTTGTCATCGTCGTCCTCAGGGTCGGTGAGGTCGATGAGCGTCGACGCAGGGCCGGTCCAGGGGAACGCCGTGTTCCAGGCGGCGGCAATGTCAGTCGCGGGCAGCTGTGCGTCCGCCTGTGCAGCCGCGGCCTGGCGCGCCTCCTCCTCGAGGTTGCGCTCAAGCATCTCCTTGTACTCGCCGTGACGGCGCTCCTCGGCCAGCCGTCGCTGGCGCCACATCTCGAGGTACACCGCCTCCTGCGCCGGTGTCACCTCCATCCAAATCGGTGGCGCGGAGACCCACTCGCGCACTACTCCCATCCTGGAGTAGCGCTTGATGGGGGACGGCTGCGGCTGCGGCTGCGGCTCGGCCTTGACGCGGCGACGGGGAGGGGACGACGGGGCCATCGGCGGCAGCGCGCAGTCGCCTGCCGCGGAGAGGGCAATGACCTACGACATGGCCGCCTCGTACCGAGCCTCCTCTTCCTCCACCGCCTCCATCCTGCGCCGCTCGTCCTCCTCGCTCTCCCGATAGACCGCCGCAAGGGCCGCCTGGTAGGCGTCCTCCGCTGCCTGGTCCTCCTCGCGGACGACGAGCGACGGCGACGGCACGCTGCGGTCGACCTGGCGCACGCCGCGTCGCCTCGCCTCCTCGTGCTCGAAGGCGAACCACCTTGCCCAGTTGGGCGAGTCGGTTGCGTAGGCGGGGTCGCAGCGCTGCTTCGGCGTCTGCAGCGCCCGCCGGCGCCGCACCTCCTTCGCATGCGCCCTAGCCGACCGTGGCGCCGCCGGCACTGGGATCCTTTCCGGATCTAGATGCCAGCCGTGCGGCAGGGTGGCATCGGGGTAGGAAGAGGCACGCGGTGCTGCCAGTGCCACTACGCCTGGTGCACTGGCACGTTCACACGTTGTCTCTGCCGGTGAGCCAACGCCGGCGGAGGCGGGAGGAACTCCGAGAGAAAAGGGATGGCGGGAGCCTTGCCCTTGGCCTTGCTGCTGCTGGCGCCGGAGAAGAGCCCCATCTCACTGTGGTGGTGGTGGCTAGGGTTTGCCGGCGACGGGGGAGCAGAGTTTGCTAGATGTGGACGTCGATTTGGATGAGGACGGCCCCGCCGCACGGTCGGCTTAAAAAAGGACGACCGCCGTCGCTGACGCGTGGGCCCGAGGTCATAAATTAAGCTGACCAGGTTAACCGCGGGCGGTTGGACGGCCGTCAGATGGGGCCGCGGCAGACACCGAGAATGCGCGCGTGTCGTCCGTTCCGTGTCCGCGACGACGCATTTGGGGCGCAAATTTTGGCCGCAAATGTGTCGGCGCGGACGCAAAGTGGATGAAATTTAAGTTTGGGACGGCGCGTTGGGCCACCATTTTTGTCCGCGCCGACCCAAACAAACGCAGACAGACGAAATAGATTGCCCCATTGGAGTTACTCTTATGGTACAAACAAACAACTTGTTGATATTTGTGTACTTCATTCCTGTAGGATTCCAACTTCTGTATGTTTTTCAAATCTTGCTAACCAAACAACTGCTGCAGCGTATTTAGAGTTGGGCCACTTATTATGTTCGTCCATACTTGTGCCTATGGTTTAAATATATAATGGGCAATCACTAGTTAAAGGTAACCCATTGCAAAGACCATTCACTATATTCTCATGTGTTGACAAGTGGCGCACAACATGTGAGTTCTATCTTTTTTTAGATTTATTCTTTCAAAATATTTTATCCCTAATTGTGCGTCCAAATACCGAACCGTTTTCGTCTTTGAATTTCTCGCATTGAGATCTTCTAAACTGGATCCCAAGTTAATGAGTTTCGACGAAAAAACAGAAAAAAAGAAAATAAAAAAGGAAACAAAAAGCGAAAACAAAATCCAAAAAAGGAAAACCGAAAAGCCGGCAATAAAAAAAGAGTATGAAAAGAACTGAAGCCCGGAAGAACGGTTGTGATTTTTACTTTTTTGAAAGCACATATTGTGTTTTTCACTTTATTCAAGGAAACACACACTGTACTTTTTACGAAAGTAAGGGTATGCTTCTCACGGAAGCACAATCTCTTTACGATGAAGACAGTTTTGCTTTTCCCATTTGGAGAAGCACACGCTTCTCGTGGAGGAGCACAACAGAGGGCGCGTAAGCACCTCTTGCGGAAAAGACTGCTTCCTAGCAAAAAATAAAAATCAAACCCCCACCCTTCAAAACCTAGGGAAAATCAGGTAAGAACAAAGAAAAGTATCTAAAACCAAAAAATGCGTATGGAAAAATAAAAAGTAAAAGTCCAGAGAGAGTGTCCAACACGTGACATGTGGCGATGGCTACCACTTCTTGGATTATGCTCAAGCTCCGCCAATGCCAGCGGGAGCATCTCAAGGGTTAACTTTTAGTTAGTTTTTTAGAACGGAGACGCACGATGCGTACGGCTTTAAATTAATAAAGCCCACCACAGGCAGCATCCAACAAAGGAACAGAGAGTTCGAACGGAATAAAAAGGGGGTCAAAAGCCCAAAGTACTGAACATGCAACCGGCCTCAGCCTGAAAAGAGAGATGGCAATTAAAGGGACGAGGCGGCCAGTCCAAAAGCGCCACGGGCGGGGACTTAGCGTCGGGCTTCAATCTGAATCATGCGAATCCGCTCCATGGCCTTCATCATCCGGTCTGCATCACGCCATTTCCCCAACGGTGTCCATGTCTGGAGAAACAAGTGGCATTTGAAAATAATATCAGTAGGGTGAGCAGGGAACTTGTGTTCGATAGTCATCTTATTACGGGTGGTCCACAATGACCAGCACAGCGCCCCTACGCATCGCCACAGCACGCGCCCGAAACTACCTCTATGAGCGAGAAGTATTCCACGTAGGTCCGCAGCCGTTTGGGGATTCCAGTTATGCGCAAAAGCCTCACGGACGGCACTCCAAGCAAACCGTGCTAGGTGACATTGAAAGAAGATGTGGTTCGCATCTTCGTGCGCTCCACATAGCGCACATGACCCATCCGAAGGGCCGTGTCGAATGGCAATGTTGTTAGACGAAGGTAGGCGGTCACGGAATAATTGCCAAAGGAACACTTTGATCTTTAGAGGGATAGACGCTTTCCATAGCCCCCTAGCTATGTCGAGGGTCGGTCCCTCAGTCAGCTTGTTGTAAAGCGATTGTACTGTGAACTTGCCGGATCTCGAGAGGGACCAGGAGACCGAGTCAGCCTCAGGGCAGAGAGAGACCCCTTGCAAGGCAGTTAGGAGCCCATCCCAACTTGACCGTTCATGGGCGAGGAGAGGTCTTTTGAAAGCTATGGCAGGAGGGTTAGTTCTAAGCGCGTCGGCCACCAAGATTTCAACGCCCGTCACTAGTTGGTAGATGTCAAAGTGGCTTCGCCATAAAGGCTCCGCCCCTAGCCAGTGATCGTGCCAGAGTCTCGTGGTTTTCCCATTCTTAACGCAGAACTTGGCCCCAAGCGTGAAGGCCGGCTTAACCGCCTAAATCCCATTCCAGAAAGGCGATCCCTTCGCCTTTGAGGTGAGAAAGTTCCCATCGGGGAAGTATTTGGCGCGAAGAATTTCGGCCCAAAGCCCTTGTTCGTTCTGGGAGAGTTTCCATATCCACTTGACAAGGAGAGCTACATTCATGAGTTTGGAGTTGAGGATCCCAAGGCTACCGAACTTCTTGGGGCGGCAAAGCGCCGCCCACTTGATCAGGTGGTATTTCTTTTTTGTCCCAGTCCCTTCCCAAAAGAACTTAGATCTAGGGGTGTCGAGCTTGGCTGAACTCCGTCAGCCAGCAGGAACATGCCCATGGTAAACAAGGGCAGGGAGGACAGACTAGAATTCGTCAGAATCAACCTAGCCGCAGATGAAAGGAATCTGCCGCGCCAGGGGCTGACCCGGTTCGCCACTTTGCCATATAGTGGTTCCCATTCGAGAATCGAAATGTGTTTGTCCGAAATGGGAAGTCCTAGGTACTTAATTGGGAAACTCCCTAGTTTGCAATTAAGTAGGTTAGCAATGCGAGAGGCGCTGGGATTGTCCATCCCAATGGCAATCACCTCGCTCTTCAGAAAATTAATCTTCAAGCCGGAAATGATCTCTAAAGCGAGGAGGATGAGCTTAATCGAGGCTATGCTATGGTCATCGGGCTCGAAGAGCAGCAGGGCGTCGTCCGCATATTGTAAGTGGGTGATCCCTCCAGGGCACAGGTGAGGCACCACACCTCGGATATGGCCTGCGATCTTGGCCTTGTTCACCATGGCCGAGAGAGCGTCGGCAACAAAGTTGAAAATCAAAGGCGAGGAGGGGTCTCCTTGTCTGAGACCGCGTTTGTTGCGGAAGAAGTTCCCCACTTCTCCGTTGATTGCAATCGCAGTCTGGCCCCCCGCGACCAGTTGCATAATGCGATGAATGAAACCCGATGAATCCCTTCCGG